GGTTTAGGGTTTAGGGTTTAGGGTTTAGGGTTTTTGGCCTTTTTGGCTCTATTTGCTGCGGCGTCCGTTTTTCTTAATTGTTTTGCATGCGAGGGTTTAGGGTTTAGAGGGTTTTAATTAATTTATTTTTATTTTTATTTATTTTTATTTTTATTTATTTTTATTAATTTTATTTTTTTTTAGAGACTCACCACTCTCCCCCTCCGCTCTGCCTGCGCTTTATACCAGCAATTTGCGGTCAAGCATTTCGAGCGAAAACCCCAACTTGTAAACCCTAAACCCTAAACCCTAAACCCTAAGCCCTAAACCCTCAGCGTTCGGCTGTGGAGGACCCTGGCAAACCCTTGCGCACCCCTGAGCCTTAAACAGCGAGCAAAAGGGGCCAAAGATTTCACTTTCAACAACTCAGGGTTTGGGGTTTAGGGTTTAGGGTTTAGGGTTTAGGGTTTAGGGTTTAGAGTTTGTGCAGTCGGTGAATGAGTTTAAGTCTCTGCTCATCGCCCAATCGGCGAAATTCGCTTCGCGCATTTCCGAAAGCAAACAAACCATTGCAGACCTAGGTAAACCCTAAACCCTAAACCCTAAACCCTAAGTTGCATTCATTTATGAACAGTATCTAATTCCAAGCCCATGGAATTGAAGAACGTTTAAATGCGCTTTGCTGTAAACCCTAAACCCTAAACACTAGCTAAACCGTCCTGAACCCTAAACCCTAGCTAAACCCTAAACCCTAAACACTTGGGGCTACACCAATTCTAAACTCTCAAGTTCTTCAAAACATTCGTCGTCTTTGTTTGATATTTTTAAAACTATGGAGGGTTTAGGGTTTAGGGTTTAGGGTTTGAGCTTTGGGGGTTTGCTGTTCTTGGTTAGGGTTTAGGGTTTAGCACTTCGGGCACATGGCGGGCTTTGAAGGTTTGGGCTTGGGCCTGCGGGTTTAGGGTTTAGGGTTTAGGGTTTAGGGCTTAGGGTTTGGTCAGGGCGCATAATGTTTACCAAAGACCGAATGAGGGTTTTGACTCACGGCCGAAGTTCCTGCGTCGAAACCCTTTTAAGAAACGCTTGGGTAAACCACAAAAAGAGGTTTGAGGTTTTCATAACGCAGCAGGACTCTGCAGCCGCAGACGGCGACGAGTAAACCCTAAACCCTAAACCCTAAACCCTAAAGTTCAAACTCCAAACCCTCTCCCCCTCCCCACCCCCCTCAAACCCTCCCTTTCCCTCTCCCAGTCTTCCCAGGGCCCGCTAGGGTCTCCAAGGGTTTACGAGGGTTTGCAAGGGTTTCCGAGGGTTCGCGAGGGTTTACGAGGGTTTACGAGGGTTTACGAGGGTGTAGGGTTTGCGCTTGCTAACCCTCCCCGCCTTCCCCCAGCTGGCGAGGGTTTATGAGGGTTTCCGGGGGGCTACCAGGGCTTCCAGGGTGTGCGGGGGTTGAGGGTGTGGGGTTTGCGAGGGTTTAGGGTTTAGGGTTTGCGAGGGTTTAGGGTTTGCTGCAGGGCGTGTTTGCTGCAAACCCTCGCGGCCCTCAAAGTGCCCTGCGGGCTCTTCTCCGTGGGGGCCGTCAGTTCTTTAATTAGGGAAATTGATTTTGTGTTGGTGGGCGCGGAGGCAGTGGTGGAAAGTGGAGGCATTATCAACAGAGTTCGTTTTTTTCTTTTTTTGATTTTATTTCTTTTCTAAACTTCCCCCTTTTGTTCTTGTTGTCTCCAGCTCTCCAGTCCCCTTTTTTTGAGGGTTTTGGGGGCTTCTGGGGGTTTCTGGGGGTCTCGGGGTGGGCGGCTAGGGTTTAGGGTTTAGGGTTTAGGGTTTAGGGTTTGGGCCCACCCACTTTTCCCTCAAGGCCATTTTAAACTTCCTTCTCTTTGTAACTCTTCTTCTTTCTCCCTGTGGGGCCCCACAGGGGGCCCCCTGAGAGTGTTCGAAGTAGATATGGGTATTAAGGGTTTGGAGTTGCGGTGTGTCTTTGAATTCGCTGATTTAGGGTTTGCGTTTGAGGGTTTAGGAGTGAATTAGGGTTTTCTGAAAAGTTGAATTTTAACTTAACCACTTTTTCCACCCACCATTAATTTTATTCTATTTTTACTTATTTATTTATTTATTATTTATTTATTCATTTATTCATTTATTTATTTATTTGTTTGTTTTTGTTTTAGGTTGGCACAGCCACAGTGGCCACAGTGGCCCACGAACACTGTGTTCCTTTTTATGTTGTTTGCGAAG